GGTTGGCTTCATTTTTCAGGGCCGGTTGCTACGTCCATCTTTTATACAGTCTATGGCAGTAGCTAGCCAGACTCTGTCCAGTGGCCCAACTTCAATCTTCACACTCAAGGACTCACGGATTTCGAGGTGGGTTCCTGCTCAGTACATTCAGGGCTGTTCTGTTGTCAAATTACCAACTGCATAAGCGTTTCTGATGCTGACTTTTCTATGACATTATGCACCCTTTCCTTGCGTGTCTGCAGACTTTTCACGGACTCGCCCCAAAGTTCAAAGCGAGATTGGTGACGTATAAATGTGGTAGGCCTGCCTTCCAAAAAAAAAAAAAAGTGCACAAACCAAGCATGGATGGAAGGAATCAAATTATCTGGTAGTGACGGCATGTGGTTGCCCATTTTATTGTACTTCTATTTTACAGATATTCATGGCTTTCCAGACTTTTGTTCGTTTGATAAATGCTGTAATGTCACAAACAGGGAATGTTGACTGAGCAGCTGAGCAACCAAAACTCACTTATTTTTGGCCTAACCGAGCCGTGTGCGCTGTCACAAGTGTGTTCGTCCTTTTAATCAACAATTGAAGTCCTCATAAGCTCAGACGTTCAAGCGCTTGCGTCACTACTTTGTGGGTTTATGCTTTAGGGTGCAGATTGGGATTGGGCCACAAAATTATAATTATTGTGCTAAAAGCTAAGCTACGGCTGTCGTCTGAGGAACCAGCACATACAGGCAGCAGGCAAAACGGCCACAACCAGTGACAAGTCTAAAAATACACCACGCAGGCAAGACTTACAGGTGCTCAGACATAAACAGGAGTTGGGAATAGGCGTCATAAAGGAGGAATCACAAAAATAGCACAAGGAAAGGCAAGAATGTTCCACTACAGAGAGCGCAAACACATTCAGGCAAACAGGAGAACATCTGCTCGGAGGAAAGTAATTTGCTGATTGAGGACTGTTGGGAAACGAAACCGAATGGGGGAAGTAAAATTAGCCAAGAAGCAACTGTCAACAAAATACAACATGAACTGAGTCCAGGCAGGTTGTTACGCAGAGATGATATCTGGCGTCTCATCTAGCTCCTAAAAAGAACTTATTTTCTCAAATTTGGACGTTGGCGAAGATATATGATAGTGATAAGAAGGAAAAAAATGGATGTAACGTTGAAATTTTACATTTTAAAAGCTGTTTTGATGAGTTTCTACATAACTGAAGCTATTTTACACAGTGGAGCACAAATTATGACTGTATATTTGCATTTATTGCATGTATAAATGTACATCTACGTGTAATATAAACTGACTGTTTCTTTGCTCCCCTCAGATGCGTCAGCGGCGCTGCAGGTTCGAGCTCTGAAGGATTACTGCAACAACTACGACTTGACCAGCCTCAACATCAAAGCAGGAGATGTCATTACGGTAACACACACACACACACACACACACACACACACACACACACACACACTTCTTCTTCAGGCGTCTGATATTTCAATAGAACAATCTGAGAGAGGAAAATGACTTCCTAATTGAATGGCCCGCAACACAGCAGTAATTACAATTAGCTGATTAATCAACTTCAAATCACACTTTTTGATAACTTGTTTTAATGTGTTTCGCTGGTTCTGGCTTTACAAATGTGAATTATACCTTTTTTTTTCTAGTCTCTTTTTTAGTAGTAAATTGAATACATTTGATTCATTTTTTAACACTTTATATGAAAAGATTCAGAAGTTTGTTCAAAAAACAAACCGCAAACGTCAAAAGCGTTTGTTAGTTATAGCTCGNAACTGGACTGTAGCTGTTAATGAAATCAACTTCACATTAAATCTGAACCATGAAAAGTAGTTGTAGCTGTCATAGAGCTTGGAAAAAAACCTTTTTATTTAAATGTGTTAATTTTGATTTTTGGAAAGCTGCTTTTCTGGGGGCTTTCGTCAACAACTCTGTTTTTTTTTTGCGATTGTCAAACATCAAAATAAACGCGGCAAACACAGACGAGCCGACTTTCATGGATGGCTGGCGGACGCTTTAAGGAAGGAATAAGTTCAGCTGGTGGGAAAACTTGCTAACAAACATGACGCTTCCTGCACAGTAACACGGAGGAGAAGCAGCCACAGCGTCCCATTTCTACCCCGACACACTGTCAAAAAACATTTTACAAAGCCACTCTGTCTCCTGCCCTTAAGTTATGTATTTGTAGCTGTAATTTAAAATAAAAACACTAACATGAGGTTGCGCTGAAACAATTCATAGCCACTTCCGCGTTGATAGCATGACATAACCCTATATACACACATCACTAAAAAACTAAAATGTTAGCATGAGTAATGCTTCCTTTAGAGAAACATTTCTACTCTGCTACTCCTCATGTACACATTACATATTCGTAGGATTCCTCGTGGAAAACCTCGTCGACACCATGTGATAAAAGTTATGAAAAACTCCGCTGAACAGCACGAGGGAGACGATGCAAATCAACCCATTTATAGCGGTGACACTAAAATGCCACGAAGTGTACGAAAACAAAAGCGCCAATATGTTTTTTACTGAATCTAAGTCTGTCATGTTAGATCCCCAGCTGCGACAAGGTTTCGCCCCGCAGCGTCTTCGGACTGAATTCGTCTTTGTTCGTTTGGCCTCCATCTGATTCAACAGATCTGAATGTGATCTCGCTCCTCAGTTCTCCAGCTGAAAAATAGGAGGTAGTTGTAATTAGTAAAGGAGCCGCGGGGGAATACGGGTTATTTTCTGTTTCTGTTCGTCACCATGGTAAATTATCACATCCCCGAGGTGTTTAATCAGCATGCAGAGACTCTGATTTATGAGGTTTAAGTAACCGGATACGCTGTGTTTTGATTTTTCTTGTTTGAACAAGTACACGGGGTGTAATGTAGTGATTGGTCAGACGATGTAATAAAGACAAGTTAGTTGAAAAGTGACACGGTGCGTATGAAAGGTGTCAAACTTGATTAAATTATGAAATGTAAATAACGAAACCAACCCTTGTTTCTGCTTTCAGAGTGGAATCAATGCAACAGTGAGAAACACGTACAGTCAGACAGCGCTGGACATCGTCTACCAGTTCACTGCAACGCAAGCCAGCAGAGAGATCAAACAGCTGCTGAGGGGTACGATGGATGGATGGATGGGTGGGTGAATGGATGGATGGAGGAGGTTTCTACCTTTAAGTCAATGGATTGGTGGACAGAGAAATACAGTTTAACTTGAAAAGTACAAATGATAGAGCTTCACATTTAAAGATTAGTTCAACATCTTGTGTTTTTTCTTGACGAGAATAAGAGAAGGTTGACTCCACTCCTTTGCTGTTATCTCAAACAAGAACCCCCCCTGCTAGTAGTCTGTTAGCTTAGCTTAGCACAAACAATGGAATCAGGGTGCAGTAGCCATAGACTGTATAAAAGATGGACGTAGCTACCGTGACGTCACCCGTTGGTTTCTGCACTGAGAAAATGAAGCCAGCGTTTTGCTACTTCCTGGTTGACATCTTGGATTTTTGGAGCCAGTGA